TTTGCTGCTCTGGCCAAAGGTTGGAGGTCGGGAGACCAGCCCCTGACACTTCGTATATTTACGCGCTCCGGATGAATGATTTTTTTGTTGACATTCTCTTCGTTGTCATCGGGGAGTCGTGATTGCTGTTGGGTAAACTGTGTGGAGCTTCGCTCGTGAGTGTTGTCAATGTTTGTGCGAAACTTTGCTTGTGATTGTTAACAATGTATGGTTTGTATTGAGCTTTGTTCGTGATTGTTAATGTATAGCTTGTGCTGTCATTGTTAACGATGTATATACTGTATGGGGCATTTATCTTGAGATGGTGACATGCTGCCAAGGATTTGGAATTGTCATGCTGGCTCTCAAATATCTTGGGGTGCAGATCCTGACCAGGATGGCCCAGCGGGTGTTGCGTGTCTAACACGAGAGTTGTGGTCCCGTCATGCTATGGCTGACGGCTTGACCTGACAGCCCGGAGATAGAGACACTCCGTGGCATGTCTAGCCTAGTGGGCTGTGTGCTCACATGGCTCGGAGAGTGTGGTCCTGTCATGCTATGGCTGACGGCTTGACCTGACAGCCCGGAGATTGAAACACTCCGTGGCATGTCTAGCCTAGTGGGCTGTGCGCTCACAGGGCTCGGAGAGTGTGGTCCCGTCATGGAATAGCTGACGGCTTGACCTGACGGCCCGGAGGTTGAGACCCTCCGTGGTGCGTCTGGAGCAGTAGGCTCGCCCTGACGGCCCGGAGATTGAGACCCTCCGAGGCGCGTTGAAACGGTGGGCTGGAGATTCGTGGTGTTCAGGTGTAGTTGTCCCGTTACGTTGGGACTGTATTCCCTCAGTTGTTAGGGTGCATGTTGTGCAGGGAGGGAACGATGGGTCGTCTCAGCTCGGTCGGTACAGCTATATGCTGCGATGAGAGTCTTGGAGAGAGACTGGGTTGAAGCCCCCCGATATGGCCGATGCGTGCTACTGGTTGTGATGCCGCGTCGGAAAGGCGGTGGGGTGGTAACAAGGAAATTCCCCCCCGATATGGCCGACGTGCACAGTTTTAGGATGGAGGCGCCACGTTGGAAAGGCGGGGGGTGCTAACGGTTGACATGTAATGTCGGTGGTGGTCCTCATTGAGGGCTGCTGGGACGCAAGCACGGGATGCCTTTTGGAGATGCGGTTCGTGCGTGCGGCCACCATTTATGGACAGGAGCAGGCAGATTTATTTTGTTTGTGTCATGTCAATTTTATATATATATATTTTAAAATGTAGATATTGGAGCAGCCCTGACGTGCGACTTCTTTGTCCAGTACATGGGTCGGCCCTGAAGTACGACTTCTCGACCCGGGACGTAGACAGACGTCCAGATTAGTGTGTGTAGAGGGATGCTCGACATGTTGGTCTTCGCCTTCTCTCCACCTGACGGATGGGAGGCTGGCAGGGTGGTGTGGAACCCTGCCATCCATGCGGTGGTTGTGCATCCAACGCGTCGGAATCTGTATATTTGTTGTTGTTAATTCCCCGTTTTCTATGCGGATCCCGAGGAGGGCTAGGTGTGCCGCGGGTCGTTTGTTTACATGTCATTGCTTCACCTTTTTGTTGATTGATGCTTGTATATAGTGTAAAGTTGTACAGGTTGGTTATGGTATTTATGGTTGCTTTCTTGTTCTCTTTTCTTTTCCTGTTGAGGCTCGCATATTTTTTCTCTCCCTTTCGTTAATTTAAACTTTCTAATTATTGACAGCCGGGACGGCTGGAGGCTACGTAGAGGGGGGTAATGTAGTGACATAAGAAGGGAGGGGCTGCTGGGGGCTCTGGGACCCCAGGCGGGTCCAGACGCTTAAGCCTCTTGGCACCAGGCGTGAGTTCCCAGGCAGGTCAGACGCTTAAGCCTCTTGGCGTCAGGCGTTGAGTACCCAGGCGCTTAATCCCCTTGGCGCCGCCAAAGGGGGGGGCTGTGTGTGCTCTGTGGGATATCTGGGGGCGCACACGGCCCCACCCCTCGTTGGACCAGGCATAAAAGGAGAGCTCCCTGGACGATCGGGGCCCAGATGTAACTCAAGACCCAAGACCCACGACCAGCCATCTGAAGACCCTGGGATGCTGTGGGAGCCAGCGCTGGGACTCTGGAACTCCCGACGCTACGACCTTGTGAGGGCGAGTTCTGGAGCGTAGCCAGAGTAGAGTATCTAGGCTGTGTAGCTAGGCTGTGTACCTAGGCTGTAACAGAGTATCAGGACTGTTGGAGCGTTGGACTGTTGGAGTGTTGTATTGTAATAAAGAAGTCACCTCTACAAGTGTCTCCGGAACCCGTTACAATAACAATCGTGTAGCATGTGTGTTGAACTTCTTTCGCACCGTACGTATCCAACCGCGCTCATCGCAAACAGACATGCTCTGATGATAATAACGTTACACGCATTGGCTTTGAAACTGATTGGCCTACACCAGAGAGAGCGGACGTCTTTATTGCCTCGTCTCACCACCATCGTTAGACCAGAGAACGCTCTCAGACGCGCTGCTTCTGCGGCCGTCTGGAACGCTCTTCCCCTTCCGATATTCGGAAGCCACTGGGAGTTGTGATGTCACTTTTAAATCATCGAGATTGACAAACTCATTTCTTTAGAACTGGAAAATATGTTATTAACCATGCAAAAAAGATTTAACTACACATATTTGGACCATCTTATTTGACAGACATTATTCTTCAGTTACCGTATAGTTTCTTCTTTTTTCACACACTGGTTTTCCTGCTTTAAGTTTACCACACGAAATTTGGCAAATCTAGAATTAATCCCAGCAACGTAGCAAAGTGCCGTTTCATCTACATAACAAAGGCTCAGTCCCATTCACAGCAGCCGTACCTTACATCAGCCGCACCTTAACAACTCTTGGAACCTCCCATTTCAACCAGTCTACACAACAAAGGCTCATTCCTAGCAGCGTGCTTCAGCCGCACAAAACCTCACAATAATAATATCCAGGGGCCTACCTTGGCTACGCTATACACTACACACACTGCACTACTATCCACTACAATACACGATACACTACTATACACTACACTATACATTACACTATACAATACACTACACACTACACCACTATACTAAATTGAAAACGAATTTGTTTAGAACTACTGACGATTAACCACGGTTGGCTACGTACGATGCGAAAGCACTTCAACATACGTACACACACACACGCGCGCGCGCAAACCACACATTCGTCACGCGCACGGACGCGCCTGCTTTATTGAGGGCGACATTGGTCCGAAACATAAACAACGATCGATCGATCCCATCGAATGAACTCCGATTGAATGGAGTCGGCGAGAGAGGGCGCCGGAGTAAACGCGGTCCCTTTAGACTCGAGAGCGGCTCGTGGCCAGAGGCTCCACTCTCCCACACCATCCCCCCACTCTCTCCCTGTGTGCCTACCGCTGCCCCCACTCTCTCGCTCTCTATAGCTGCCTCTCCCACCCACCCCCTCGCGTCCTCTCTCTCTGTGTGTCACCCCCCCCCCCCTTTCTCTGTCACTCTCTCCCCCATCTCCCTCTGCTGCTCTCACCCTCCCTGTATCTATTCTCTGTGTACAGGCCACTCTCTTCCCTTTTCTCAGTGGGTCTCTCACTGTGTATCTGGCCTGCATCTCTCCCTCTCTGTGCCACTCATTGCCCTCTCTCTCTGTATCTACCGTTCGTCCCGACTCTCTCTCTGTGCCTTTCCGTATCTGTCTTGCACTCGTCCCCTCTCTCCTCTGTATCTGCCACTCTGCCTCTGTATCTGCCACTCTGTAGATCTGCCTCTGTGTTTGTGCCACTCTCTATAGATCTGCCTCTGTGTGTGTGCCACTCTCTCTATAGATTTGCCTCTGTGTGTGTGCCACTCTCTCTATAGATCTGCCGCCTCTGTATGTGTGCCACTCTCTGTAGATCTGCCTCTGTGTGTGTGCCACTCTCTATAGATCTTCCTCTGTGTGTGTGCCACTCTCTCTATAGATCTGCCTCTGTGTGTGCCACTCTCTCTATAGAACTGCCTCTGTGTGTGTGCAACTCTCTCTCTGTGCCTGACCCTCACCCGACTGTCACCCCCTTGTGTGACAAGCTCTTGCGAGGATCGCTGGATCATCCTGCGCGCGTGTGTGTGACTCTGTCTGTGTGTACCTATGCGTATGATTAGGTCGGCTCAGCCTCGAATGAGTACCTGGTGCAGTGTGTAAACATCGCCAATGGGGAGACAAAGGCGGCCGGGCGTGGTGCTGGTCACCACTCCCTCATGCGCCGTTCTGGCCTTCATAGGCGCTCGCTAACAGCACATGCCCCAATAGTCTGTCAAGGCTATACGGGGGATTTTTGTCTTTGTAGGACTGCGTGTCAGTGTGTGTCTGTGTATGTGTGACTTTGTCTTTGTTTGCCTGTGGGGGGAGCGGTAATGTCGTGGTTAGCGCGCTGTACAATGAAACCGGCGACCCGAGTTCGATTCCCGCTCACGGCCAAGACCAGTGACGATCTGAACCGGTCATGGGCCTCCCCAAGGTAGACTCAGCCTCAAATGAGTACCTGGTGCGGTGTGTAGTAAACATCGCCACTGGGGAGGCAAAGGCGGCCGGGCGTGGTGCTGGCCACCCACCCCCTCGTGCGTCGTGCCGGCCTTCATATGTGCTCGCTAACAGCACTTTGCCCAACAGTTTGGTAAGGCTATACGGGGGATCTTTGTGTGTGTGACTTTGTGTGTGTGACTTTGTGTGTCTGTCTGTCTGTGTGTGTCTGTATGTCTGTATGTGTGCGTGTTTGTGTGTGTGTCTGTCTGTGTGTCTGTGTGTGTGTGTCTCATTCACCCGAACTCGAGCACCTCTGTGCCCGTGTCTCTGTGTCACGCACACAGTCACCCCTCCCCCTCTCTCCCCCAGTCTCCGCCCTCTCTGGCTCCCTCCCTCCTCCTCCTCTTTGTGTCCCTCACCTCCCCCTCTCTCTTCTTCTCCACTCCCTCCATCACCCCCCTCTCTCCCCCCCTCTCCCCTTCTCCACCACCCTCCCACTCTGACACCCCCTGTGCCTCTCTCCCTCCCCCTCCCTCCCCACCTCGTCCCCTTCCTCTCTCGGTGTGAACGGCGGCGTCACACAGAGAGAAGCGGAAGACTCCTGAGGCGTGGCGCTGGCAGCAGCCCTTGGGGTGAGCGCAGGCAGGTGAGCGTGTGGGGAGGTGAGCGTGTGGTCAGGTGAGCGTGTGGGGAGGTGAGCGTGTGAACGTGTGGGGAGGTAGCGTGTGAACGTGTGGGGAGGTGAGCGTGTGAACGTGTGGGGAGGTGAGCGTGTGAACGTGTGGGGAGGTGAGCGTGTGGGCAGGTGAGCGTGTGGTCAGGTGAGCGTGTGAACGTGTGGGCAGGTGAGCGTGTGGGCAGGTGAGCGTGTGGGCAGGTGAGCGTGTGGGCAGGTGAGCGTGTGGGGAGGTGAGCGTGTGTACGTGTGGGGAGGTGAGCGTGTGGACGTGTGGGCAGGTGAGCAGGTGAGCGTGTGAACGTGTGGGCAGGTGAGCGTGTGGGCAGGTGAGCGTGTGGGCAGGTGAGCGTGTGGGCAGGTGAGCGTGTGGGCAGGTGAGCGTGTGGGCAGGTGAGCGTGTGGGCAGGTGAGCGTGTGGGGAGGTGAGCGTGTGAACGTGTGGGGAGGTGAGCGTGTGAGCGTGTGGGGAGGTGAGCGTGTGAGCGTGTGGGTAGGTGAGCGTGTGGGCAGGTGAACGTGTGGGCAGGTGAGCGTGTGGGGAGGTGAGCGTGTGAACGTGTGGGGAGGTGAGCGTGTGAGCGTGTGGGCAGGTGAGCGTGTGGGCAGGTGAGCGTGTGGGCAGGTGAGCGTGTGGGCAGGTGAGCGTGTGAACGTGTGGGCAGGTGAGCGTGTGGGCAGGTGAGCGTGTGGGCAGGTGAGCGTGTGGGCAGGTGAGCGTGTGGGCAGGTGAGCGTGTGGGCAGGTGAACGTGTGGGAGGGTGAGCGTGTGAACGTGTGGGAGGGTGAGCGTGTGAACGTGTGAACGTGTGGGAGGGTGAGCGTGTGAACGTGTGGGCAGGTGAGCGTGCGGGCAGGTGAGCGTGTGAATGGCTGCCCAGGTGTGTCTTGAACTTGCACTGATTGGCCGCGGTTTGTAATCCGGCACTTTGGAGACAGCGAGGGTTGGTGGATTCCACCAAGATTTTTTGAAACTGCCTTCCCGTCGGGGTCGAGAAGCCAGTACATTCCGTGTAGTGTATAGTGTGGTATATAGTGTAGTGTGTGTAGTCTATAGTGTAGTGTGTGTATTGTGTATCATGTATATATTGTAGTAATAATGTACTGTGTGTAGTACCTATAGTGTAGTGAGTGTAATGTGTGTAGTGTATAGTGTAGTGTGCGTAATGTACAGTGTAGTGTATAGTAGTGTAGTATGTATATATGTTTACCTTATTTCGCACCGGACGTAGCCAACCGTGGATAATCAGGAGGTGCGGGGGAAGGGCAACAAACTAAGCACAAAAAGCAGTTCTAAAGAATGTGTTTTCAACTTGGTATCAAAATATAGTGTACTCGCCTGTTGCCCGTCCAAGGACGGGTGTATTGCAATAAATCTGAAACTTGCAAGTGAAAAGCAGACCGCTCAGTGATATTCATCGCATTAATGTGCAATGTGTAAGGGCGCGGTGACACAGAGCTATTTCATTTTAAGTTTATAATCCCTTGTTCATTATCATGACGTCCTTTTTACTTTGACGTCTCAGTAGCGTTACGGAGATCGCGTGACGTGAGGGTTCTGCCTTTGGAGTGAGGGCTGTAAGTTGATGCCGAGGGGGGTGAGGAGGCGCCTCGGCCCCCCATGTGGAGTGACGTCAGCCGCCAATTATTATTAATGAGGGGAGGGACCATGTTGAGGAGGTAACCTGTTCATGAATATTAATGAGAGGGGCTGTTCGATGTGAAGTGACGTCACGAGTGTTAAGTATAGACATTCCTGGGTGATTAAAGTGTGTATAATGTATTCTGTGTAGTGAATTGTAGTGTATAGTAGTAGTGTGTGGGGAGCGGTAGTGTAGCGGTTAGCGCTACGCTGCGCTACGAAACCGGCCACCCGAGTTCGATTCCCGCTCACGGCCAACACCAGTGACGATTATCTGAATTGGTCCTGGGCCTCACTTAGGTCGACTCAGCCTCAAATGAGTACCTGGTGCGGTGTGTAGTAAACATTGCCACTGGGGAGACAAAGGCGGTCGGGCGTGGTGCTGGCCACCCACCCCCTCATGTACCGTTCCGGCCTTCATAGGTGCTCGCTAACAGCACTTGCCCCTACAGCCTGTTAAGGCTACACGGGGGCTCTTTGTATAGTAGTGTATAGTGTAGTATGTATGTCACACTTCTTATTTTTGCACTGTATGTAGCCAAACGCTCTAATCGGAGGTGCGGGGGAAGGAGGACAAACAGAACGCAACAACGAGCAATTCTACGTGAGTGAATTTGTCAGTCGAGATGATTTAAAAGTGCACAGCTCCCAGTGGCTTCCTTACATCGGAAGGAAGAGCGTTGCATACGGCTGCAGAAGAGTGCCTGCAAGCGCGCGATGCGGTGCCCACAGTCTTTGTTCAATGGTCAGCCAAGAGCTGCCGCTAGCTGTGAAGATGACCGGAGTTCGTTGCGATGATTCGTGCTTATTGACGAGATCATTAGCGTCAAGCACTTTGTGTGTAATGAGTGTGGCCTTATTATCACCTATTCGCTCGGCAACCAGAAGCCAATGCCACTCAGCGAGCAGCGGACGGACACGGTGGGACCTTGGGTGACACGGTGGGACCTTGGGTGACACGGTGGGACCTTGCGGGACACGGTGGGACCTTGCGGGACACGTCATGCTGCACGTGGCCATAGAATGTTGTGCACGCTGCGGCCTGCTCATATTTTTGCCAGACCTCCCGTAGAGTAGCGAGCTGCGATAATATAATCGGACCTTGTCTACGATACTACGCCGCACGCCACCACCGTGTTGGCTATGTCACGACTCAGTCGTGGCCGAATGTGTTGTAGAGCCCTGATAGCCGTTTAAATCATTATCACAGAAAACATCCCAATGTTTTAAAGCAGGGTGGCAAGGGTTATAGGCCCTCACAGCAACAAGGGCCCAAGTTCGATTCCACGCTTGGGTGCCTTTCTGCGTGTAGTTTGTATGCTCTCCCTCCCGTTTTGAAGAGAGTGAGTGTGGGTGTGTGGTAGCCCCAATGTGGTTTCAGACTGGGACGGTCCTGCTCAGACGCCATCTTCTCTGTCATGCTACAGCAGAGGTGTCGGGAACTTCAACAGGACCTACACCTCTGCTTTATTGACCTGCCCAAGGCCTGGACTCTAGGTTGTTCTTCCTGCTTTTGGAGTCCCTTGCCATCTGCTCACAACTTATTAAGGACCTTCATGATGGTGGGCAGGCCCGGGTAAAGTTGCGTGGCCGGGTGTGCTAGAGCCATCCCTGTTCACATTGGGGTGCGACAGGGATATTCTCTGGCTCCCACGTTATTTAATATCTTATTTGACCACGAAGTTCGAGAAGCTTTCCATGGATGTACCAGTGGAGTTTCCATGTGGTACAGATACCATGGGAGGCTGATTGATGCCCGGGTGCGGTCAAGGGATGGCTCTCTGTTGGTCAACCATGTTATGTATGCTGATGATCTGGTAATTACTGCCGATTCGTGAGGAGTTGGAGATGCTTCTGCTAAACCTGGAGCATGCTACTAAGAGCTGGGGCCTTACCATTAGCCCCACAAAAACAAAGCACCTGCCTGGGTATTTTGTCACCAAATGCTCCCTCTCATCAACTCCCCAGGAGTGACGGGGCAATTGTGGGGAGAGTGGAGAAGTTTCCCATACCCGGACAGTGTGCTTATGACCAGTCTCACTCCGAATCAGTCGAGCGGCATTATCTTTTCATCGGCTGTGTAACGCTGCTGTGTGGAAGCTACCTGGTCTGTTCCTCTATACAAAGCTCATGGTCTTCTCGGCCACGGTTATTCCCTGCCTTTTCTATGCTTGCAAGACGTTGAACCCTCTAGAAGTAACATCTTCTGCAGTTAGAAACATTCAGGCTGGCCTGCCTACGATCTATCCTGGGCTTAACCAGGCTGGATTGTTTGAGTTCACAGACCGTTGAAATATCTGGATGCAGTCCCATCATCAGTGAGCTCCTCCGGCAGGCGAGGCTGCGCTGGCTGGGTCACGTAGCCCGCATGCCCAGCCGCCGCATGCCCCAAAGCAGCTTCTGTTTGACCGGAGAGGGAGTGCTGAATGGGGCACGGCACGGGCTCAGAGAAGAAGAGATTGAGTCGATGTGGTTCAGAAGGATGTTGAGCGGTGATCACCAGGGCGGCCTGCTGGATGCGAACAAAGAGCATCTGTAACGAGTGGCGACTGCTTGGCTATGCCACTAGTCAATCCTGACACGTTGTACTATACACGCTCTGTGACTCATGCTGATGCACGAAATGCAAAGATCCCCCGCATAGCCTTAACAGACTGTGCTGTTAGCGAGTAGCATTACCTCTGAAGGCCGGCACGACACACGAGGGTGCGGGTGGCCAGCGCAGCGCACCCGGCCGCCTTTGTCACCCCAGAGGCCATGTTTACTACACACAGCACCAGGTACTCATTTGGGGTCGAGTCAACCTAGGGGAGGCCCAGGATCCGGTTCGGATATTCATCACTGATGTTTGCCGTGAGCGGGAATCAAACTCGGGTTGTCACTGCTCCGCTGACGCACGCACACACATGCACACATACATACACATAACCTGTCATTCGCTACTAATTGACGGTGACGTCACCACGGCACCTGTGCCAGGCTAGGTGCACTTTGAGACCATGTGTAGTGTCGAAAGATCGCTGACAGGAGGTCACGGGACAGACCCAGCAGGTGCCATGGGTCGGCTGACTGAGATGACTGGCAGATGCACACCAGCTGTACCCCCTACTGTGCCAACTTACTGCGTTTTAGCCGCCCGGCGCTCCACTCGTTGTTGTGAGCGTCGCTCCTCTGCCCTCCGTTGTTGCTGGAGGGTGACTGCCTTTAATTGCCCAGCAGCAGCGTCCTTCACGAGCCTCTTCCATAGAGGCCGATCTTGACACCGCTGATACCAGTCATCGACAAGAACACTCAGCTCCACATCCTCCCGTACCGCATCAGCTCCATC